TTCCAGGCACATCCCATTTTCCTGGCACAACCAAGCTCTTACCTTGCTTTGAGTTATGATAAGAGGAAGCTGTATATTGAATTTGGTACTCATAGCTCTTTACTGTTTAGGAGGAGTTCTTGAACAAATAGACACACAGACAAACTCTCTCAAATATATATTCTAACATAAATTAGCTGGCTTTTTCCCCAAAACACAGCAAAAATATGTATTCAATAAAAAGTAAAGGGAGTATATAATACTCATCTCACTTGTAATTTATGGTCAGTAAGTGGAAGACCAGTGTATTTAACCCAGTATATTGTGAAGCTCCCAAATTTTTCATATTTCTGGTAAGAGCAAAAGCAATTAATATTTTTTTCACTATTGTTATTCATCTAATTATGTTTCCATCATGTTTGTAATGATGGTAGCACATTATTTACAGATTGGGGCTGGGGAGCTGAAAATCTCTCTTCTTCCCAATAGATCTGGACTCTAATTATTTTTGCTCCTATGCATGTGCAGAGTGACTGTTGCCAGCTGTGGGAATTTTATGCCAAGAGGAGTTGTGCTGATTTGAAGGGAGTGAATATAAAAGGTCCTTTCCTGGATGCTGTCTTTGTCCAGAAGTCTGAATGTTTCACCTGTACTCTCACTGAAACAACCTCTTGTGTTTTTAGATTTTAAAAAAATAAAATATTGTAAAGAGGTAACATAAGGGATGTGGCATATATAGCTGTAGAGAAGTACTCACCAGTGTCATGGAATGGATAAAGCTTAGATAAAGCTGCTTACAATTATATTGTATTCAAGCTGAATACAATATAATTGCTCCCCTGAGGAAAGATCTGAAGTTCCTCTGGATCTAGTAAATCAGATTTTCTTTGCTGATGGGAAGAATCAAACTTCCATCCCTGGCAATAAAAATAAACATAAATGCTTATATCATTCTTCTCTGGGAAATGGGAATTAATCCTATCACTGACACACCTTTTGGCCAGAAATATACCATTTTTTCTTATCTATGTAGTCTCATAAGAAAGAGTTAGAGTGATTATTTCAACTTGCTGTCTTCTTTATGTTCATTCTTTTTATCAATAACTCAGTTTTTAAAATATTAATACAACACTTACTGTAGGTCTCACATATAAACAGATCCAGGCCTATGTATGTTATAGTATATAATAACAGATAATGTTTTATATATGCAGGACCTATAATGGATACCACTTTTCTTTATTTATTTGTCTTGATTATTCAGCTCTGATTTTTCTGA